CCTCATCTTCTCTTCTTAATCTGCCTCCTTTTCTTCCTCATCTTCTTCTTCTTCTTCTTCTTCTACTTCTTCTTCTTCTTCCTTATCTTCTCCTCGTGTTCTTTTTTTTTTCTTCTTTCTCATCTTCTTCGCTTCTTCTTCCTCATAATCTTCTTCCTCTTCTTCTTCTTCTTCTTCTTCCTCATCTTCTCTTCTTCTTCTTCCTTTCTTCGTCTTCCTCTTGTTCTTGTTCTTGTTCTTTCTCGTCTTCTCTTTTTCTTCGTCTTCTTGTTCTTCCTCATCTTCTCTTCTTCTTCTTCCTACTGTTTTTCTTCCTCCTCTTCTTCTTCCTCATCTTCTCTTCTTCTTCTTCCTCTTCTTCTTCTTCCTACTGTTTTTCTTCTTCTTCCTCATCTTCTCTTCTTAATCTGCCTCCTTTTCTTCCTCATCTTCTTCTTCTTCTTCTTCTTCTTCTTTCTTATCTTCTCCACCTGTTCTTCTTTTTCTTCTTCTTCCTCATCTTCTCTTCTTCTTCCTCATAATCTTCTTCCTCTTCTTCGTCTTCTTCTTCTTCCTCATCTTCTCTTCTTCTTCTTCCATTCTTGGTCTCCCTCTTCTTCGTCTTCTTGTTCTTCCTCATCTTCTCTTCTTCTTCCTCATAATCTTCTTCCTCTTCTTCGTCTTCTTCTTCTTCCTCATCTTCTCTTCTTCTTCTTCCATTCTTGGTCTCCCTCTTGTTCTTGTTCTTGTTCTTCCTCATCTTCTCTTCTTCTTCTTCCTTTCTTCGTCTTCCTCTTGTTCTTGTTCTTGTTCTTCCTCGTCTTCTCTTCTTCTTCGTCTTCTTGTTCTTCCTCATCTTCTCTTCTTCTTCTTCCTTTTCTTCTTCTTCCTACTGTTTTTCTTCCTCCTCTTCTTCTTCCTCATCTTCTCTTCTTAATCTGCCTCCATTTCTTCCTCATCTTCTTCTTCTTCCTCTTCTTCTACTTCTTCTTCTTCTTCCTTATCTTCTCCTCCTGTTCTTCCTTTTCTTCTTCTTCCTCATCTTCTTCTCTTCTTCTTCCTCATAATCTTCTTCCTCTTCTTCTTCTTCTTCTTCTTCCTCATCTTCTCTTATTCTTCTTCCTTTCTTCGTCTTTCTCTTGTTCTTGTTCTTGTTCTTCCTCATCTTCTCTTCTTCTTCTTCCTTTTCTTCTTCTTGCTACTGATTTTCTTCCTCTGCCTCATCTTCTCTTCTTCTTCTTCTTCCTTTCTTGGTCTTCCTCTTGTTCTTGTTCTTGTTCTTCCTCGTCTTCCCTTCTTCTTCGTCTTCTTGTTCTTCCTCATCTTCTCTTCTTCTTCTTCCTCTTCTTCTTCCTACTGTTTTTCTCCTTCTTCCTCATCTTCTTCCTCATCTTCTGTTCTTCTTCTTCCTCTTCTTCTTCCTACTGTTTTTCTTCCTCCTCTTCTTCTTCCTCATCTTCTCTTCTTCTTTTTCCTCTTCTTCTTCTTCCCACTGTTTTTCTTCTTCTTCCTCATCTTCTCTTCTTCTTCTTCCTTTCTTCGTCTTCCTCTTGTTCTTGTTCTTGTTCTTTCTCGTCTTCTCTTTTTCTTCGTCTTCTTGTTCTTCCTCATCTTCTCTTCTTCTTCTTCCTCTTCTTCTTCCTACTGTTTTTCTTCCTCCTCTTCTTCTTCCTCATCTTCTCTTCTTCTTCTTCCTCTTCTTCTTCTTCCTACTGTTTTTCTTCTTCTTCCTCATCTTCTCTTCTTAATCTGCCTCTTTTTCTTCCTCATCTTCTTCTTCTTCTTAATCTTCTTCTTCTTCTTAATCTTCATTATCTTTTTCTTCTTCTTCCTATTCCTCATCTTCACTTCTGCTTCTTCATCTTCTCTTCGTCTTCGTCTTACTCGTCTTCTTCTTCTTCCTCATCATCTTCTTCGTCGTCTCCTCCTTCTTCCTCTTCTTTTTCTTTTTCTTCCTCTATTTCTTCCTATTCCTCATCTTTTTGTTCTTCCTCTTCTTGTTCTTTCTCTTCTTGTTCTTCCTCGTTTTCTTCTTCTTCTTCTCTTCTTCCTCACCTTCTCCTCTTCTCTCTGATCTTATTCTTTTTCGTCTTCTTCCTCGTCTTCTTCTTATTCCTCATCTTCTTCTTCCTATTGTTTTTTCTTCTTCTTCCTCATTTTCTATTCTTCTTTTTCCTCTTTCATCCTCATCTTCTCTTCTTGTCCCTCACCTTCTCTTCGTCTTCTTCGCCTTCTTCCTTTTCTTCTTCTCCTTCTTCTTCTTCTTCTTATTCCTCATGTTCTTTTACCTCTTCTTCTTCTTCCTCTCCTTTTTCTTCTTTTTATTCGTTATCTTCTCTTCGTCTTCCTCTTCTTCTTCTTGATATTCTANATATTCTACTTCCTCTTCATCTCGTCTCCTCCTTCTCTTCTTTTTCTTCCTCTTCTTCTGCTTCTTCGTCATCTTCTTCTGTTTCCTCTTGCCCTTCCTCCCCTTGTTCTTCTTCTACTTGTTCCTCATCTTCTCCTTTTCTTCTTCCGCTTCTTCTTCCTCTTCTTCTTCTTCCTACTGTTTTTCTTCTTCTTCCTCATCTTCTCTTCTTAATCTTCCTCCTTTTCTTCCTCATCTTCTTCTTCTTCTTCTACTTCTTCTTCTTCTTCCTTATCTTCTCCTCCTGTTCTTCCTTTTCTTCTTCTTCCTCATCTTCTTCTCTTTTTCTTCCTCATCTTCTCTTCCTCTTCCTCTTTTTCTTCTTTTTTTCCTCTTCTTCTTCCTCCTCATCTTCTCTTCTTCTTCCTTTTCTTCTTTCTCTTATTCTTCTTCTTGTTCTTCCTCTTTTTCTCTTCTTCTTCTTATTCCTCATCTTCTTCTCCCGCTTCTTCTTCTTCTTCTTCCTTTCCTTCTTCTTCATCTTTTCATTTTCACTCACTTTCTTGTTGAATATACGGAGCCAATATTTTAGGAAGGAAGCAGCGGCAGCCAAGTATAGGCTGCCATATAAAACACAGAGAATAGAAGACGTGTGGTGGTAATGATTAGACTTGAACTGAAGTCCTCTTGTGGTGACCTTTACAGCTTGACCACCACTCTGTAGACCGAGATGAGAGAGCAAATACTTTTATACACATATTACATATACATTGTTGGTATGGTGGCTCGGATAAGTGAGATATTATTCTATGACTGCATAAGATGTGAATCCGATTGTGTATAACTCAAGATGCTTTGTTTTGAAATTGCTTTCTTCCTTTCTCTGAATAGTACCGAAACAGCAGTTAAGCGATGAAACGAATTGATGAAGACAGTTACAAGATGCATTCTCTCTGTTGACCAACGAACCATACATAGAGTTTTTCGTCACCATTGCGCACCCTATGATGAACATACACACACTTGCTAGTGTAAGTTTTAGTTTCAAAATACTCTCAAACACACTGTCCGTTACAAATACACTTCGAAAAGCTCTATCTACGTCATCCATACACTGCAGTTTCAGCCTTGTATTTACATACAACCCTGCTTGGGGTAATTCTGTTTTACGAAATCTCGCATGTGTGCTTGTTGATAGACAGACATGTTCCCCAGAAATACATAACTCCTCCCTTAATTGATAAATTCAATAATTAATTAGTTTTCCACTTCAACTGATTCCGTAGAATGACATCCAAATATATGAAAATATGAAAGACAAAACCATATTATTCAATACATATGATTACTAGACGTCTAATCCAGTTTACCATCTGTCTGTTTGTTAATGTAAAGCATGAAAATCAGATAGAGTTCACAGATCTCCTATTTGGTCTCTCTAGAATAAAGAACTGCCAGATCAGTTAGCCTAAATTTCTGTACTCATCCATTCAAGCGCAGCAATTATATCATCATGATGCCTACCGTAAACACAACGGGTTTGATAAATTTTATAAATTCAATTAGCCAAGTGAGAAATTGGAAATGTAATCAGTAGTCAGGTTGTCATAACCCCGGAGACCAGTGTTGAGATGGGCGAGCCGTGATGCTTGCAATAACCTCGGAACGATTGGTTGTGCTATATCGTGGAAATGGAAAATGATAAAACGGTCTGATTGGCTACCCGGTGGTCAATTGGGTAACATGCTTGCGTTCTGCCTGTGAAGTCCTGGTTTCAATCCCCAGTTGAATCGAGGGATTTGCACTGCTGAAGAGACCCAACCAGGTCGAAGCAGCTGCTCAGTGCTTACTAGTTATTCAGTTCACTTCTGGCGACAGTAAGTTGCTCTACCTTGTGGTGGTTGAATCGTTTTTTGGCTCTGTCTGTTGAGTGAGTATTTGTTTTTGGCTTGTAAGAAGCGGTTACGGGAGACTAGGCTGTGTGAGCACCGCTAAAAACGGAATGCTAAGCTTTTAAAATGTACAGCGCAGTTACAAGCGTGAATAAATAACTGCGGGGGGAGTGTAGTTTGCCCGAATTGGAGAAGTGTAGAGGATGAAGATACAAGCCTATGAGAAAATTCTTAGTTTTTTCATCACATACAAGTGGAGATCACCATAGGAAAATAAAAATACTGTAAAAGGGAGAGTAGGGAAACGTCCACGTAGGTTAACGTTCATTGGTTATACGTTTGAAGAGCCTAAGGTTGTTATTTTTGGGGAAAGACAGAAAGTGGAAGGGTGTTCCAAAATTAGGCCATTTGAGGAAAAATAGAAGATTGGGGCAGAGAAGTATGAAATTTGGGAACCAAAAGCTGATATGGACGACTAGGAGTCTGTGTACGGAAGCCCTAGTTAAATGTTACAAGAAGAGGAACTGCCCAGTGAATCTACAAAAAATAAAATTGTAGCCGTAGAGCAGGGAAAGGGAAGCAACTAACCCTATGTCAGTGACTGAAGACTGGATGTTATAGAAGGATCATTGATCAGCCGGATAAACTTTCTCTTTTGCATTTTTAATTCCTTTTATTCCATACACAGTGATACAATCTTCTGGAAGGGGGAAGTGACCAATCGAAGGGCAGCCATGTAACACACAAATGAGGAAAGTCAGATGGTGATGGTGGGATTCGAACACACGTTCTTCAGGGTGCTAATTTAGTTACTTTACCTCTAGGCAATTACCGACTTGTTGAACACGCTCAAGAAAGGAAGGAAAAAACAAATCCACAGCCCGCACGTGACTGCAGTATTCAAGAGTAGGGTGGATCTGAGCTTTGCACAGTAGAAGTAAATGAGCTGATACAAAGAAGTGCCTGACGCAAAATAAAAATACAATCTTGCACGCAGCATGAGAAGCAAACTGATCTATGAAAGCGGACCAGCGTTAAGAAGTTATAGGTGATCCAAGAGGAGAAACGGAGTCTGCAGAATGCTGCTGTGTGGAATTAAAAGATGAGTAGGGTGAGGGGAGAATGAATGGTGTTTTGGAGAAATTGAAAGAAGTCAATTTTTAAAAACATTACATAAAACATGGTTGACATTTCTTTAGGAGGAAGTGTATTGATGATCAGAGTACAGTGGCACACTAGCTACACTATAGTCACGATCGATGTTTGTTTGGGCATGGCCCGCGATGCGGTAGAAGAGGGAGCAGCAGCGTCGGCAGCAGAATGGATTAGGTCGACAGTTTTTGAAAGGAGTTCATTGATAAATAGAATAATGGTGGGCGAAAATACTGAACCTTGGGGAACGCCAGCCTTCTCAGGGAACAGCTGAGATAGAACCCCATCAGCTTGGACGGAGGTGGTTCACTAACTGAGGAAACTTGAACTCCATGCTTCGAGGGCCGGAGGGAACGCGAACATGGG